CGTGGTATGGGAGTCGAGGCGGGGCTTAGGGCGAGGACAAGGCCAGGCTAGGGGCGGGGCCCAGTAGGCGGGTCTTGGTGAGGGGCATAAACTGGGTATTAGGGCGTAGCCAGGCGCGGCTACCACTTGGAAGGAGGAATTTGGGGAGGGGCCAACCTAGGTCTAGGGGCTTGGCGGGATCCCCCAATCGAGAGGCGGGGCCGATAGTGGGTGGGTTCTGGGCCGAGGAGGAGGGTCTTGGGGGGGGTCTGGGCAGCAGTACCACCCCTCTGGGACCCGGCTGGAAGGAGCACCCCCCTTTCTTCCCCAGCCTTTGGATGTCACTGGACAGGTCTTTCATTCACCATATATTTATTAAATACCTATTATATGCTTGGCACTGTCGGGCACTGGGGCTATAACTTGGGAAAAAGCAGTTCTGGTTCCTGCCCTCCAGGGAGGGACTAAGGGCCTCGTAGGGGAAGTGGGCATAGAAGCCATTATGAAGTATCATAGCAGTATGTGCTGGCGTCAAGGCGAGTGCACAGAACTAAGACAACTTCCAGTCGTTGTTTTGATCCTGCAGGAAAAGGAATTCAAAGGAAGAGTGGGAATTGACTCCTGGGGCTGGCGAAGTGAGTTGGGGTTGGGGAAGATGGGAGAGAGGAAAAACAATTATTTCAAGTCAAAGTTAGTGTGTCTTGAGTCGAAAGGCAGGGCACCTAGCAACCTAGCGGTGCTGCACCTGGAATTTGCACAGGTCTACCGTGTTTTTTTTTAGTAAATCTCTTGGAAAATTCCATTTGGAAGAGTCCTGAGCTAATTTGTTAAATATGCTTGGAGAAGGTAGACGAGGGGACAGATTAAATCTCATTACCTCCGTCAGATGAGAAACACTTGAACCCTGCTTAGCTATGAGAACCAGAGGGAAATTAATTCTAATTGAATGCAAGTGTTCTGTTGTTCCTCTGTAGAACCATGTGAGCACAGATCAGATCCCCGCAAATTTCATCTTTTATTCTCTGAATGCTGTTGATTTAAATAAAGACAGTGGACTGTGGTTATTGCTGTGGTTTACATAGAATGAACAGTTTGTCAGTTTCAGAAGTACACAAGTCCACTTAGTGGCAGTATCCTGAGGCATTCACTTGAGATACTTCGCAGGGCTGGGCCTTGAGGGTTAAGGAAGGCTGGCTCTGAGTTGGGGCTGGAGCATGGGCTTGGTTTTGCTGTTTTGATCAGCTCTCTGCCTGCACTAGATAATGCAAACCAATGGAAATGGGTTAGATACACTCATAAATCCTGGGCTTCTATTAACTCACATATTTGTTATTAATTACCATCTCTCCCTGATACAAAGAGGCATGTACAGTTGGTGTTGTAGCAGGACTATGTGATGTTCTCCTAAGATATTAATAAACTTGGACTGGTCCAGCCTTTCCTGATGCCACAGAGAACAGCAGTTGAGGAATGACCCTGCATGAACCACAGAACTGACCTGGACACAGAAGACACTTTATCTTGTAGTGTGGGCTCTCGGGAGGAACAGAGGTCACACGTCTTAGATCTGAATCGGGATGGGTCAAGGCACTGAAGGAAATTTTAATGTCCTGTGAGCTCACAGGTGTGGTGTGTTCAGTTGTTAGTGACAGGATTATTGCCTAAAATATAAGACATAAGTCCAGCTGGTGTTGATTTGGACAGAGGTATAGGACATTCTATCTTGTGGTCCTACTTGTTAGAGAGTAATGCACTCAACCTAGATGAAAGATTCAAATCCCAGATTGAAGGCTTTCTATAATACAATAAAAACCTAATGTATTTTAGCTGTATGGAATAGTTGCCTTTTAGAAATTATGGTGTAGGCATGGTAGTTCAATCAGTACAGTGAAGTTTTTCCTTTATCTCTCCTGTGGCTAATGGTTTCTGTAAAAAAGGACCAATTGATTTCTTTCTAAAACGTTGCTTCAGGGTGTTAGAAACCTTTATAGGTCATGTTTCACCTTATAGAAACATTTTATAGTTCAAATATAGATTGCATTAAATGTGGACTCTATAATGGAATTTAAGGTTAAGTAAAGTTCCAACTTTCCTTAGGCTGTTTCTGGTGTTCAGCACACACACTCCGCCTCCATCAGGACAGGTGTTATGTTAAAGTGTGGTCAGGTCTGGGTGTAATATGGAATACAGAAGTCTCCGTCTGATGATTTAACCATTAACACACAGAAGGAGAGGCACCAGGACCATATAATACTTTGGATGGTGGCAGTGTCAGTTGTTAAGTGTTGCATTATATACCCTAAGAAGATGAGCTGGAATTCTTAACCCTTGGTGCCTAGGAATGTCAACTTATGTGGAAATAGGGTCTTTGAAGATATAATCAAGTTAAGATGAAGCATATTAGATTAGAGGAAGTCCTAAATCCATTGTCTGGTGTCTTTTTTTGGGGGGAGGGCAGTACTGGGAGTCAAACTTGTGATCTTCCTGCCTCAGCTTCCTGCATAGCTGTGATCTGAGGCATGTCCCACCATGCCAGGCTGTCTGATGTCTTTATAAGAGAAGAGCATGCTATGTGAAATCAGACACAAGAAATGACCCTGTGATCTTGGAGGTAGATTCTGGAGTAATGCAGCTACAAGCCAAGCAAGCCAAAGAAATCAGAAGCTACAAGAAACAAAGTTGCTGCTTTGATTTTAGATTTCCACCTCCATGTTTCTGTAGCTGTAAGCTACCTAGTTACCAAAGCCCTGGGAAACAAAACTGGCTGCATGATTTTGGGGATTCAGCACACAGTAAAAATGTAAGGTCTTTGTTAAAGAATCGGGAGTTTTAAGATGGTAACAAGAGATTAGTAAACCCCTCTGGGGACTCATCTGAGCACTGGGCCCTGTGGCATGTGCATGTCACTAGGCTAGGAAGCTGCCGCAGGCTGCTGGGTTCTCCCAGTGCTGCCCCTAGCGGCATACAGGACATAGTCTCAATGGGTGATTTCAATGCATGCTAATCAACCACAGGAAGTCCAAAGACCAGTGGCTTCTTTTTCTATTGAGTAACTGTATTTGTCACATTGGCAACAGACCCACGAGATTTCTTATGATGACACTGAGTCCAATTCCTGTGTTATGGAAAGCAGGTTCTCTCTGAGTCTCTGATCCTGTTTTACAAAAATCAGTTTTAATTGTCTGATGAGTAAGATGTTATTCTGGCTGCTCTTGGTCCCTGAGAAGTTTCCTATCCAGGCACAAGTGAATATTAATTATGGAAATGAAATATACATTTACTCCAAGAAAGTGTTCTCTGCAAAGAACTCTCAGAGGCTGGGTTGTTGAAAGCTGATTTTGCTAAATGACCTCTTCGCCAAATGACCCATGTGCCTAATGGCTACTCTGTTAAATGACCAATTTACTAAAAGTTATTTTGCTGAAAATCGGTTTGTGGGATGTCCTGCTTACCAGTGACTGACACATACCTTTCTTTCCCAGGCTTCCGGCACCGGTAATGTTGAGACCACTGCAGCAAAACTAAATCTCGAAGAGAAAGCAATCCTCAACAATTTGGTGAATTGTTCATTTATTTAGTTTTCTGCCAAATGGGCTGCTTCCAATAGGTTCATAGGGAAGTCCATGGGTGGTGGATTAGAAGGGAAGAGATTTGTATCTTTTTGAGCAAACTTGCTTTAAACTTTTGCTAAATCACTGGACAGCATTTAAGAAAAGATGGCCAGTGTTTGCAGACAACATAAAGGGAACAGTGGCACTGGATACCCTTCCTTCCTATGGCACATTTACGATTTTGGAGTCTTACAAATTAGCTGTCTCACTTCAGATCCTCTGTCTCTCTTTTCAGCAGTGAGTGGAAGTGAGGGCTTTGCTCCTGTGCTGTTGGGCAGCAGTCTGTGTGACTGAAGGGAAGGCTGAACGTCTCTATTAAGAAGGGGCAAGCTGGGTATTTAGCTCAGAGATTCCTCTACCTGCCTCACAAGCTCAAGGTCCTGAGTTCGATCTCCAGTACAAAAAAAAAGGGGGCATCTTGGGGCATGTTGTAAACAATTTCCTGGGCACCAGAAGGATTATCTCCTGACTCTTGTCTATAGAGTGCCTTCCTTCTGTCCAACAGGAGTGTTCTATTTGAATTCATCCTCCCTCCAGGGGCCCCTCTTTGTTTTTTTTCTTTCTTAGGGAAGATTTTTCTATGCTGACATTTTTCTGGCGGCTGCTTTTGTGTCTCACCTGGTGGTGTGGGGCAAAAGTCCAGGAGCATCTCCCTGGTGACTGCCAGGGAGCTCACCCCCAGGAAGGGGAGGTGCCCTACACATCCGGGCACAGATATGGATGCAGTTACAAATTACCACCAGATGATTCTTCTTAAAATCTGGCTCAGAAACTATGAATATGGTCTTCGTATCCATGTAGATATTTTAAAAACTATGATCTCCTTTGTTGAAATATAATTCACTGAAAAAAATGATTAAAAGAGCCATTTTTAGATTCCAATTTCCTGAAAGAAAACTGTCCCTAAATTAACATCATGCCTGTCAGATTCTGTGAAAATACGAACTGGAGGACACTGCTCTTTGCAGTGACAGAGAATACCAAGAGATGAAAGATCTTTAAGGAAGAGAATAAAGAAAGTGTCCCATTAGAAACACAAGAAGATAATCACCACCCTGACAATAATAAGTGCAAATGTATATCACTTACTATGAAGCATGGATTGTTCTTAATACTTTTTTTTTTCACCTCTTTCTGGTACTGGGGATTGAACCTGAGCTACATCCCCAGCTCTTTTTTTTTTTGGTACTGGGGATTGAACTCAGGTCCTTGAGCTTGTGAAGGCGGTGCTGGAACCACTGAGCTAAATCCCAGCCCCCCAGCACTTTTTAAATGTTGAGACAGGGTCTTGCTAAATTGCCCAGGCTGGGCTCAAACTTGGGATCCTCCTGTCCCAGCCTCCCAGGGCGCTGGGATTACAAGCGTGCACGACCGTGCCTGACTCTGTGTGCTTTACAATACATAGTAAGCTGTCTAATCTTTGCAGCATCGAGGGTTGTTTTCTCTGTTTTACAAATAAGGAAACTGAGGCATAGAGATTGAGAAATCTTCTTTAAGTATAATCGGTAGCAAGTGCTGGTTCAGGTAACTGAAGCCTGAGACTCTGGTTCATTGGAAAGCAGATGGATCTTGTGTTACTCTGATTGCTTGTACCTGTGTTTGGGTGAATAAAGGTAGATTAGCCAGACACTGACTACTGGAAGTACAAGCTCCTGGCTGCCCATATGGTAAACGACCCCGTGTCTCTTTGTTATTCATTCTCATTCCCACCTGGGTCAGGGAGAACAAAGTAGTTTGAGGGTCCCACAAGTGGCATCTGGGTGGGGAAAGCTCGAGGAGTGGACTGGCTCCCCATGGGTGGCACCTGGGGCAGGAGGGACCTGAGACGGGCAGTGGGTGGGTCCACTACCCTGTACATTGATAAGTTGGTCTAATATTTTGCCTGGTGAGTACAGAAGGTACTCTCTTCTTAGCATGGGCTCTCTTAGCTGGTTAAACAATGCCCTTGAGCCATGCATGCTGGTACCTGCCTCTAATCGCTACACTCTGGGAGCCTGAGGCAAGAGGATCTGAGTTCAAGCCCAGCCTGGACAACTTGGTCATTTAGTGAGATCCTGTCTTAAAAAAACTAAAAAAGAGGCTGGGGATGAAGCTCAGGCTAATTCCCAGTAACACAGACGGATGGACAGATGGACGGACAGAAAGACAGACAGACACACACACACACACACACACACACACACACACGCACCTTTGAGGCCACTGGACGGCCCCTCTAAGTCAGTGCCCTAAGGATGGCCTCATGCTCCTGAGGAGACACAAGCAAGGTCCATTTCCCCTTCACATCAAAGCAGGCAGGAGGACGGGAACCTGGTGAAGGATATTCAGTGAGCACTGCTACAAGTTTGAATCTTGCATTCCCCCGAGTATGCCTGTATTGAAGGCTTGGTCTCCAGCAGGTGGCATTATTGGAAGGTGGTGGACCCTTTAAGAAGTGGGGCCTAATGGGAGGAAGTCAGGTGCCCTATTAAGCTGTGTCTCTAGATGACTGACTGCCAGCTGGTACCCGAGAGTCCTGTGTATTTACTGAATCATCACCTTTCTGTTGTCTTGATGTAGGAAATCTGGACTGGGAAAGACAAACCCTCTCAAAAAAGATGGAAGAAAGCTTTATTTGACTGGCTGGCCCAGTGGAGCTAGGTACTCCGTGAAGAACTGGGCCCTGAAATAAAAGGGTGAATTTTATACAGTAGTTTAAGTTGGGGTGAGCTTGGGATGAGTGGTAATGTAACTGGCTTGAGGTTGGAGCTGTCTTTAGGAACAGTACATCACATAGCAAAACAGAACAGGATACATGTTGTTAACTGTTGAGGCTTACCGGATACATTTTCAAGGCTAACAGAGAGGACATATCAAGATTTACTTTGAAGTTTGAGGCTAACCAGATACATTTTAAAGGCTGACAGAGAGGACATAACAGAATACTACTGTGAATATTAGAGCTAACAGGATATACGTATATATATTTTGTGGTGGCTTAAAGTATCACTCATTGGGAGAGGTTGTGGATTTGCCTGTTTCTGGGTAAATAGGAACAAAATCAGGGCCTGTGAGAATTTTTAAGCCTTGAAGGCCTGAAAGTTTAAAACTTCTGCATTACTCTGTCTCAGTCCTGAGTTGGTGTCCCATGTTATCTGGCTCCCCATAGTGAGAGTCACAAGTCACAATTTTCCTGAGCAAACCAGTTCATGATGATATCAGTGTTCTCCTTCCATCCTGTCTTCTTGCTGTCCGGGTGTGTATAGGATTCCACCAGAGACTGCTGCACGGACTCATTTTTGTATGTGACATCTCCCCCCGGGATAGTGGAATGACACCATTTTCTTGCCTGACAAGAGCAAGAAGGAAATTCTATTAGGGCCATTTCTCCTATCTTTCTTGAAATAAGAAGAACCCTTCTTGTCCTCATGCCCAGTTCAGAGGCATAGAAAATATATATTCTTTGGAGTCAGACTGCGTTGGATTTGATTCCTAGTTTCACCAGTTTCTCAGAGAATCTAAAACTGTTCATTGCCAGAAGTACTATTATTCAATGTGCTACTCAGGAAAAATGCTGCCAAAGAAACCATGACGCTCCAGTGACCACAGAATGCCTTCCAGCTTCAGAGATGGCAAAAGAGGGTTCTTTAAGAATGGCAGAAAGTGGTAGTGTCTAAGTTGGTAATGCTGAGTTTTTAAATCTTTTAGTGCCTTGGCATTTCTATCTGTCAAATGCTGAAAAGTTGAAGGGATCTTTGAGTGTATTAAAGCAGACAACTTTAAGAAAACCTGCAGGCAGCAAGCATTCTTTTCTTTGCTCCCAGGTAGGGCAAGCTACCTCAAGTCTTCTCTGCATTAACGTGTTTCCTTGATGTCTTAGTCTGCTTTCTGTTGCTCTAATAAGATACTCAAGGCTGGAGAAGAGATTTACTTAGCTCACAGTTTTGGAGGCTCAAAGTCAAAGAGCGTGGTTCTGGTCCTGGCAAGGGCTCCCCTGACTGTATCACAGCATGGTGGGAGGAAGTCATGATGGGAGTGTTTGTAGAAGAGGATCGCATGGAAGGACAGGAGGTCAGAGAGTGAGGAGTGGCCAGGCTTTCTCTTGTAACAATTCACCTGTGGACCAAGGGAGCCCAGAATTAGTCCATTTCCAGGCAGTACTCTGTACAGCCAGATCACTTCTCAATAGGCCACACCTCTGGAAGGATCATCTCTTCTCAACACTGCCGTGCTGGGGACCAAGCTTCTAGCACAGGCACCATTGGGAGTGGGGGACCCAGCCCAACCACAGAACCCACCCAGAACCACTCTCTACTTTGCTGGGCAAGAGCACTCTGACTTGCCTGGAGGCTTGGTCCATGCCTGCCCTCCACGTAGGTCCACCCATGTGCCTGCCCTTGCTCCATGTTTCAGAACAGGTTGATATCACCCCAGGATCTGAGGTGGGGTGACTGCCCCCTGGCATGTTCTGAAGCCCATCAGTGCATGTTTGCCGAGTGCAGCTTTTCTGGGTCCTACTCTGAGTGAGGTGTTGTGCTTCAGTGAGCAGAGGTAGGGTTGGTTGCTGTAGTTTCTGTTTCCTGAGAGGTGTTGGAGATAGGACTGTGACATGCCTGCAGTTCCCAGAGAGGGAAGACCAGGGTGGGAGCTTCAGTCCAGGTAGAAATGTCAACAGCATGGGACACTGGGTCTCTGCATCCAAAGTGCGTTGCAGATAGCCATGAAACATGGCAGGATCCTGCAAGGCATCATCAGGGACCAGGGTCACTGCTCGGGACTTAGACCTTGGTCAGTGAGGCCTGGTGACCTTTGCCCTGATGACAGGTCATGGACAGCAAGATATGACAGCAGATGATAGCCAACAAGGAAAGAGCCCCACAGGCTGCCATAGGGGACATATGTCTGTCACCCCCAGGAGGTAAAGCAGAGAACAGAGTAGGGTAGGTGTGCAGGGAAGAGAAGATTCC